GCCTCGGCCAGGCCCCGGCGACGTGGGGCGGGGGACCGGGGAGGCCCTAGTTTTACCCCCCTCCCCCTTTTTGCTTTACGTATTAAACCGTCTTTATCTCAACCCGCGAGTTTTTCCTCGCTTTTACCTTTCTGATTCTCTCCCCCCCATCCCGCCCGGGATGGGGATTTAAACCGTGTCGGTGGGAGTTTTGCCTCCAGTTCCAGCGACAGCCGCTCTGTACGCGGAGGAAAGCGGTACTGAGGGGGGAAAAGTCTGTCCCGCTTAGAAGGGTAACATCCGTCCCTAAACGTTGTGTTTTAAAGATTAAGCTCTAAAAATCCGGAGAAACCTGACACTCGGAGCTAGTTCCTGCCAGACTGAGAAGCCTCAACAGTTATCCTGGACGGTTTATAATCAGAATCACAGAATGGTTAGGGTTGGAAGGGACCTCTGGAGATCATCTAGCACACACACACCACCACCACCACCACCCCCCCCCCCACCAGAGCAGGGTCACCTACAGCAGGTTGGACAGGATGGTGTCCAGGTGGGTTTTGAGTATCTCCAGAGAAGGAGACTCCACCACCTCTCTGGGCAGCCTGTGCCAGTGCTCTGCCACCCTCAAAGTAAAGTTCTTCCTCATGTTGTGATGGAATTTCCTGTGTTCCACTTTGTGCCCATTGCCCCCTGTCCTGTCACTGGGCACCACTGAAAACAGTCTGGCCCCATCCTCTTGCCACTCACCCTTCAGATATTTATAACCATTGACAAGATCGCCTCTCAGTCTTCTCCAGGTCTCAGCCTTTCCTCATAATGGTGCATTTTTTTCCTATATTCATTACATTTGACTGTTTACTCCCAAAAGTATCTCAATCATATGCCAAATATGGCACAAAATTTCACATTTCTGGTACCTTTTTCTCCAGGCCCAACCCAGAAAGCAGCACCCAGAGATCAGCGGCACCTGCATGGCTGCAGTGAATTGTTAGGGGACGGGGGATACAGCACTGGGGCTTCTGACCACCAGTCGCCATGAGTTCTTATGACCAAAGCTTCCTCTGGTAAAACTGACTGCACTCCATCAACCAGATTTAGACAACTGCGAAGCTCCTACTTTTTAAAGTTACAGCTCCAGGAATTTGCATATTAACTCTTTTTTTTTTTTTTTAAAAAAAAACAATGTTTGCTTTTACTATTACATTTTCATTCTGTGCTTTTTGATAGATCTACAAGAAGGAGGAATAACAACTGTTTAAGGGACGAATAAAATTTATGGAACAAACCACTTTTAAAAACATATTCTTGCCCTCTCATTTTAATCCTTTTACAGCACTCATTACAAAATTACATAAAAAATGTATAAATTTAAAGTTGTCTCTGCTGCCTATTTAAATGCATCTGTTACATTTTAGTGACTATAATGTTCTACCTTTTCTTGGAACCTTGTGCTGTTTAAGGGACGAATAAAATTTATGGAACAAACCACTTTTAAAAACATATTCTTGCCCTCTCATTTTAATCCTTTTACAGCACTCATTACAAAATTACATAAAAAATGTATAAATTTAAAGTTGTCTCTGCTGCCTATTTAAATGCATCTGTTACATTTTAGTGACTATAATGTTCTACCTTTTCTTGGAACCTTGTGAAAAAAATCAAGACTGTTTAAAAAAAGTCAAGAATTCAACTTTAATCTTGTTTTACCTAAACAATTAG